GTATCCAAGTGGAAATTGAATAAAATGTTGTTTTATCCATGTGCTTTACGATAAAGAAAAAATACCTTATTTTCACAAAACACAAATCAAGAAATAATGGAAATATGGGAATTAATGAGAAATAATGTTTATTGCACATTAGCATGGGACAAAGTTTCAATGTACCTGAGTTCCTTGTGGTTTCTGCTGAATCACAGCTGTGTGTTTAACCAAGCCATCAACAATAAACTGCTCCTTATAGCAGTTAGTTTAGTTTTGCAGTAGTTAACATTCTTAGAATTATGCACATATTATATTTATACTGTAGGTTTAGTATTAATATATAGGTAGATTCAATTACTATATACTAAAGGTACAATGTAGGAATATAGATGGGCTTATTTGATGACCCTTACACTGTGACAGGAACTAAAACCAGATACATGTATGTGATTTATTATCTAGCTATCATATGTAAATATGGTTCCATACACTCACGTGTTTTTTTTTTAAAACCTCTGCTTCCTTCTTCACAGAACTATCTCTGTAGTTCTAGAGCAAGACTGTGCTCTGCACAGTGCTAGGTCTGACTGCTTTATGTTGCTACTGTGAGAGGTGGACTTTACTCTTTAAAAGTACAAATGATGACAATAAAACATTTATCATTATGCCTGCTTGTTTTCTTCAAATCAGAAAGTGTAATGATAATGTGAAGTTTAAATCCTGCAAATAGTTTAGATGTTTTGACTTTGAATCATGAAGAGTATGTTTTTGCATTTAACTATACAGTACATGGATGAAAAGCCTGGTATGTGCGCAACAAAAGCAGCTGAACATTCAAGCTGTCCATTGTGGAAACTGGAAACATTTTAACTTGCACTTGTTTGAAGAGCTCCATGTGCAGATTAAAGCTGGAAGTAAAGAGAAATGTGATGACAGTACAGTATGTGAAGGAGATGTATCTAACCATGCCCTTCTCTGTGTGCTCCTCTCTTCTTATACGTGAGACAGGTGCAGTGCTGAGCTGTCAAAGTAGCATGGGATGAGGCACTCAGGGCTGTTCAGCAGATAGAGTGCTGAGGAGAAGAGAAAGTTCCACACAGCATTGCTCAGCTGAGCTATACTGAGAGTTCTGGGGGGTGTTTTGTACTTTCTGATACCATCAAGCTCCCTGCAGCAACGCACTAACAGAACAACTGTTAACAGCGTTGTCTATTGCTACATCTGAAAATAAGTAGACATATTTACTATGTCTATTGCTACATCTGAAAATAAGTAGAACATTTTACTTTGGAATGAAAATCAACCAGTAATGCCTGTATATTACTGATCAGATCTGCAGTAACATTACCAGTGTGACTGTGTTCAATAATACATCAGTATCCAATTACTGAATACCTACCTTTTGTTTTTCTCAACCCTAATTTGTATTTAAGTGAACAGCAGTCATTGTGTTCAAGCACAATTATTCAGAAATCATGTGGGCGTTTTTTGCATTTTTTAAAGCATGGAATGTGATTTGTGAAATACTCTTCAAAGTCCAGACACTCCTCTTGCACATGTTCCACCTCAATTATTTTTTTTCTTTAATGTTTTCAAGGAATGAGGATGTTTAGTCTTACTGACTGATAGTGAGATAAGGCTCAAGCCTGTATCCAGTTGTGCTTGAGGCACTTAACCTGCTATCTAATGTGTCTGACTTTATCCGATCAGATATACCACTGAAACAAATATCTCTGAAAGGAAAAGGAACCTACCTGTAGGTGCAATGAAGAAACAGGTGCCATGTATGCTTCTCTTTTTTTAACACAATAGTTTTGGCATATTATTATTTTGTTTTCTTTTTTTCTTTTTTAAGTCAATAGTTCACAATCCATGTGCCTGTACATATATTGTTATGTATGTATAGAAAGTTTAATAGATTTTCTGTAGCAAATATAAAAATGTAACCTGACAATAGATCACTTAAGGGCAGCTTGTCATTAGGAATTGCAACTTAAGGCTAAAATTGCAGTTTGAGTCAACTCACTATCATCTGCAAAGAATAGCTCAATTGTTAGAGAGCTGCATTGAGGTGCTTAGTGTGTAAGTTTAATAGATTTCAGCTAAGGCACTGAAGACAAACTGAAGTGTTTAGCTGACTGATAGCCAAACCATGATGTATGAAGGCAATATGTTAACAAATATGAACAAAAAAAGATTAGACAAGGAAAAAAGAAACTGGTTTATTTTATTTACAGTTTCTTTTTAGGTTTAACTTTTTATGTAGTGCATTGTATTTCTGCCTTTAGAACGAATATTATACTGACCTTGTGTTTCAGACTTCAAGTCCAATTAGATAATTGAAGCCCAGTACTCTATGTAAGAGGTTAAAGATGAAGACAGTCAAGAGGATGGTTAAAAATGGAACAGAAGAGGAGAGAGTGACAATACCAGCAGTTTAAGGGATAGCAGTGAGGTCAGGCTGTCTGAGACCTTGGGGTATGCAGCTGTATCATGCTTTCATAAGAAAATTGAGCTG